ATTGTAAGCATCAATGCCACTTTTGATTAATGACCTAATCAGAACCTAGACCTTAATATGCTTTTTGGCTCATCTTTCTGAAACCAAGTTATTTCAGTTCCAGGTGTGCTTTTTTTCCATGGCTTGGTATTCTGCCTTGCCTCCTAGCATTTTGTTTACTGACATTAGCCCTATTCATGTCAGGTGGCAGAGATTTTCCTCTTTTCATTCGAGGGCTGACAGCCAGCACACCTTTGAAGTCCTTGAAGAATTAGTTGCCTTGGGAATTTTTCATGCTGTAATCATATATTTATGGTTTAGGGGTTTTTTTTTTTCAGTCAGTTTTTTATCATTAACTGAATTCACAACAATCATCTTTATAATGTCATTAATAAAGGTTTCTTAACCATGCTCATGGGCATTTAGGACATTATGCAATAGTTCAATAAAAACATTACAAAACACAGTAATCTCAGCATATAAACAGAAAGAGGAACAGTCTGCAAAGATCTGAACATCAAAACCTGAAGGTATTTAGGAACTAGAGTTCTATTCAAGTCCACCTCTCAATGATTTAAAAAAACCAAAACAAAACAAAAAAACAAACCCAAAACACAAAAACTTCCAGCCCCAAACACAAAACCAAAAAAACAATGAAAAAAAACTCTACTAAGAACAAAACTCCAGAAGGGTGTGGTTTAAAGAAAAAAGGCCAGAAAATTGGGGAAACCTTATTCTCACGAATTCAACACTGGTTATACCAAAGAAGCGGTTTTTAACTGAGAAAACTACATTTTTGGGGACCAATTGAAGCATGGAATTAGAGAGCTGGCGACCCACTTGTAGGGCACTTGTTAGGATGAACGTTGTGTTTTGATCTTGGTGTGAGAATATCCAGGCAGTGATGGTTAAATAGTCAAAACCCTATCATCCATCAAAACTGAAAGCTGTTGCTTTTCTGTTGATTGATAGTTAAGCACAGTCCACTAAACTACTGCAGAGTCTCCAGCCCTTTAGACCTGAAAACTTGGAGGGTGTTGCATGATGCCCATTCCACTCTTAAAATTATATTTTCTACTAAGACTCTGATCTATCAGTACAGCTGGAAAATACCTTTGTTAGAAGAGGAAAGTATCTCCTGAGAAGTTCTGAAGTGTCTGACCACCCTCTTCACTGTGAGGGTGGTCAGACACTGGAACAGGTTGCCCAAGGAAGTTGTAGATGCCTGGAAGTGTTTAAGGCCAGGCTGGATGAGGCTTTGAGCAACCTGGTCTAGTGGAAGGTGTCCCTGCTGATGGCAGGGGGGTTGGAACTGGATGATCTTTAAGGTCCATTCCAATCCAAACCAGTCTGTGATTCTATGAATTTCACTGCTGTCTTCTACAGTGGCTGGAAACCACCGTGTGGTGGTTGAGGAACATCTGCTCGTATTAGGTTTGTGTTATTGATGTTTTTATAGCAATTTAGGCTTCCACATAGTATCCTGTGCCTACTGGTGATTCAAATCTGAAATAAAATTAAAATCAGAGATAAAGTGGTTATATATTGAGAGATTAAATTGAAATCAGAGATAAAGTGGTTATATAGATATGGTTGCTTATAGGAAAGATAAGTGCACCTCTCAGCTCCCACATGCATTGCTCAGTAATCCCAACGAGCAATTAGCTATGGGGAGCATTAAGTGTGGACGTAATGGGCAAATGGGATGTGTGCACACGTGTCCAGTTTGGTCTCAGTTTTTTCCCCCATGATACTTTTTCTCAGTGATAGAAGAAATTTTCAACATACTAATACTTTTACTATAGCCTTCAGATTTTATGCTGCCACATGATAGTAAAGAACAGTTGACAGGAATATTTATTTATTTAAATTTTATTATATTTTTTTTTTTAGTTTTCATGAATGAATTCATCTGAATGGTACTTTGACTTTTGTTTATTTGCTTTTTAAAAAGGTGTGTTTTCCATTCCAATGGGCAATTGTTCAAGAGCTGTTGCAAAACTGTGTTACACAATGCAAGAATTCCTAATACATAAGCAATAGGCAGGCGTGGCAAGCTGTTGGAAGCTTTTTAGGTCAGTATGCCATGAATCAGTATTTATTATCTAACTTTTTCAGGAGAATGAAATTTTGACCTTTTAACTGTGCAGCTTAGTTTGGGACGGCGCAAGGAGGCGGATTATACACAAAATACTGTCACTTCTGAAATCTTGGTGTTTGTAGCCTCCAACTCAAAGTGAAGGCAGCTCTCTGAGGTGAAGTATTAGCAGTCTCACCATGTGCAGCTCGGGCATCCTTTCCTTTCTCTTCTTCTTGAATAGCTAAGTGCAAAAAAGATCAGAGGCATAAAAAAAGCTTCACGTTTCCTGAGCAGTTCCCTCATCCGTGGGAGCTCTCATTTTCAAGGGCAGGATGTGACCTTTGAATGTCTACAGCATTGTAACTGAAACAAAATCATTTTATATGCAGTGATCAAAAAGCATATTGATGGATACAGCAGTGCCCTGTGGCATTTTATCCCAACATCACACTAATCCAATCTGATGATGTATCAAAGCTCCTATTTAATGTGAGTACTTCCAACAGCTCCTATTTAACGTGAGTACTTCCAACAGCTCCTATTTAATGTGAGTACTTCCAACAGCTCCTATTTAATGTGAGTACTTCCAACAGCTCCTATTTAATGTGAGTACTTCCAACAGCTCCTATTTAATGTGAGTACTCATTCTCCTACCAGTTTTCCAAAGCACTCCCATTATAGTTGTCAACTTTACAGCAATGACACGGTTCATTTGATACTGAATATTTCTAACAAAGAGAACATGAATGCTTTGGTAAAATTAATATTGGTCAATCAGCAAGACCTTATACCTTTCTAGCATAAAAATCCAAGGGAAACATCTTCTGTGTAAGTCAGACAAAGCACAGAATACTTTTGAGGAAAAGAGGAGGTGAGGAGACAGTTTCCTGATTTTTTTTTCCTGCTTCGTAAAGCAGATTAACGTCTCTGAACTGTGATCTGAAACTGCAGAGCGGATTATGTGGTTACTGCTGCGGCTGCTGTTCATGACAGATTGCATTTAAAAAACCCTTAAGATGCTTCACAGGGTATAAATGGGGAAAAAAAAACCCTGTTCCTGAGTGATCAGGTAGTGTTTGGGTTGAGCATCTACCCCTCTCATGAGGGCAGTGTGGGCTGGTTGGCATTGGTAAGTCATCTGAACCACCATTGTTGACCCCTAAATCAAATCAGTATCTAGTTAGTATTAAAAGTAGCAATGTTTTCTTCCCAAGTCATTCTTCTGAATCTCCTGCCCTGCATTTTTGCCTCTGATATGTACTTAAAAATTTGCACATTTTTCCAGTCTCGTTTTCAAATAGTCAAGGTCATTCAGGTATCGGTATTGGGATGATTTTATAGGATAGTCCTGTCTCTCCTTCTACAGTTCTGCAAATAAATCATCCCGTTACACCATCACAGGCACTTACAGCATCCACAAGCTGCTTACTGCTTTAATCTCTGGATGGATTTAGAGGCCAAATGGTCGGGGTGGATGGGAGCAGCACAGCATGTTAATACTCACCTGAAAGTCAATTACTGCCTCGGCTTGTGCCTTTATAATGTGAGATGGAGGCATCAGATAAAATGGGGAGACTAATGAAAACAAAGAGTGTTTCTTTGCCTCTAGGGAAATACAAGATAACTCTTTGGACTGTTCCAATTGCTTAATTGCTCCCAAAAAAAACCCCAGAAGTTTTGCCCCTGAACTGCTTGAGAAGGGGAAGCTGTGTCAGAATTGTGAGGGTTTTTTCAGATATTTTTTGCCATTTGATGGTGCAGACAGGTTTTTCTGTTGGCCACAATGGGTGTTCTGTATCCAGTTGCTTTTGAAAATCCCACTGACCTCTCTTGAATACTCGGTGACCATGAGCTTTTGTGTTACAGCACTGCCCAGGAATGCAGAGCTTTGTGGTCCCATTGTTTTCCTGTGTGTATCTATTTTACAGCCTTGAGGGTGATTCAGTAACTCCAAAGTAGGTGGGATCCACTCCTCTATGGAGTTAATGGATCACAAGCTGTGTCAGTGGAAAGGATGCCCTGAGTATGGTTGTGTGGAGTGCAGGGAATGGGCATTCATGTTTATATTCCAGGCAGAAGCTGGTGGTTCAAGCTTTATGGGGACACTGGTGGCAGAGGCAGCACAAGCCTCATACCCAAGTTAAACTTTCACAGCAGCTGCTGTAGGCTTAAACTGGGTTTAGGACCTTGTTGGCATCAGCATTTTACAAATGCAGCAGCATGAAGCATCAAAAATCATTGAATCACAGACTGGTTTGGGTTGGAAGGAACTTTTCAGGGTCATCTAGTCCAACCCCCCTGCAGTGAGCAAGGACATCTTCAACCAGATCAGGTTGCTCAGAGCCTCATCCAGCGTGACCTTGGATGTTTCCAGGGTTGGAGCTTCTACCACCTTTCTGGGCAGCCTGTTCCACTAAGCAGGCACATTTTGTCAGAGGAACAGAGTCCATTTGTTTAATCTGAGAAGACCATACAAGCTAAATAGACCTTCCAGAAAAGAAAGGAGGTGAGAGCAGTAATGGAGGCATCTAAGTACAAGGTACCTTTCATGAAGGGAAGAGTGGGGCAGTGCAGACATGGACTAAACCCTACACTCCTCCAACGTCTTGTCCTCAGGAGCCATCCATGGTGGGATGTGCTGAACCATGGGCTGGCCTAGTGCTGCGGCCACACTTCGAACAGCAGATCTGTTGCCCCATGGCCCAGTTACATGCAATCGAAACCAGGAGGTTTCATGGATCCTTTTGTCCTAATGCTGAGGCCTGCTGCCTCTTCTGTGCAAAGAGCCAGAAGGGAAATCTGGGGACAAGGGCTGTGCTGCAGATGGTGCTTAAGGAAGGGAAAGATACCCAGTTGGAGCTTTTTTTAATTCAGGTGTTTAGCAATGACCCTTCTCCTGTCACTTGAAGAACTCATGACATGTTTTCTGTTTCTATTTCAGGCCAAGAACATCCTAACAGCCTGCGGCACAAATACAACTTTATAGCAGATGTGGTGGAGAAGATCGCTCCTGCTGTGGTTCACATTGAATTATTTCGCAAGTAAACAAGATGCCTGGTTTTGATTTTTCTATTCTTGAAAACAGCTGCCACTGTGTGCCAGAAATGTTGATTATTGTTATTTAATAGCAGAGAGGTTTTTGAGATGATAAATATTTGTCATGCTTAAGAATTAAATATAATTTAAGAGTTCTGGCAAAAAGAAAAAGAAAGTTAAACTAATGGATGTGCATTTTCTTGTTAATGATAGTAAGTAACAGCATTAAAAACCACCAGACTCTTTTGACTGTGTGTTATTTGGAGTAATTTGTGAACTTTCAACTTTTTTTCAGCAATAAATGTTTCTTTCCCATGTCTTTTAGACTCCCTTATTCGAAGAGGGAGATTCCTGTTGCCAGTGGTTCAGGGTTCATTGTCTCAGAAGATGGACTGATCGTGACAAACGCCCATGTCGTCACCAACAAAAACCGGGTGAAGGTGGAGCTGAAGAACGGTGAAACCTATGAAGCTAAAATTAAAGATGTTGATGAAAAAGCTGACATTGCACTAATTAAAATAGATTCTCAGGTGAGTCGTTAAAGCAAGACATAATTTATTCCTCTTAATTTAATACCCTCCTTTCCAAAAACTGTTGCTCATTTTCGTGTTTGAAGGAAAGGGTGGTAGTTTAGTGGTCTGAGTTATAGAGAATATTTGAGCTAGGTGGATACACATTTTTAAAAGCCAAGTCTGTGGTTGGTAGTGGTTAATTTTATCACCTCTCAGTGTAGTGCAAGCAAGTACACAGCACTTTAGTATGCATCCTCAAAATAAAAAACAACAACATAGTTTGCTGGCTGGTTTGCACACCCATTGGCTGATATAACTCCCCCTCTGAGAAGAAACGAGAGTGTTCCCTTGTGGTTGGTAGAGGAACGTTTTAGTTTTACTTAGATGCCTGTACTGAAGTCACAAATTGCTTTTAGAGGATGCATTTGTCCCTCTGAAGGGATGTACCACAGTGATGTAGATACTAAAATGGAAAATATCTTAGGAAGCATCTTGAAGATGCAAATAAAAGCCAGCTTGGAAAGATACTCTTACACTGCAAGTGGTTTTCTGAACAAATGGGATTGCAACTTCCCATCCATTGTCTTTCACCATATCAAACACTCAGCTGTCAGCATTATTCTGCCTCCTGCAACAGCAGAAAAGCTGTCATGCAGTTCTGCACAGGTCAGCAGTGTAGTGCGAGTGGAATAGTGTGTCGAAATACTATGTAATGTAGATGCAATTAGATGCGTGTGATTGCTTGAGGTGCTGCTCATATTGGTTTCCCTTGTTTGGACTTTTAGTTAATGACCTCCAAATTTAACAGGCAAGAACGTTTCATTTGAAACACATGACTCAAAAATGTGTAGATCTTGCAGTGTTGTTTTAGTTCAGACCTATTCCCCAGTGAGGTCAAAAGTGTTTGTGCCAGAATTCATGACTAAACCAAACGTCTAATACAGAACTCTTGGATGACCCAAGACACTCCTGCTGCTCCCTTGCCACTTTTGTCATTTAAAAGCTCTCTTATTTTTTATTTAAAAGCTTCTTAGCAGCCACATGGCAGAAAACTTCAACAGTACCACAAATGTTTTTTGTCATGTTGGTTTTTCTGCTGTTTTTCCTGAGGTAACCTATTTAGACATTTACCCATCACTAATTTTCTTATGTTTATATTAAAATAAGCAAAAGCAGATCTACAGTAACAAAGCCAAGGGAAGGATCCCCAAGATGAGAACTGGCAGCATTAGGCTGAGTAGGATATGGCAGGGAGTGAAGGGCAGCTGGAAAAGTGGTTTAAAACTGGAAGCACAACATGGTGGGGAAAGTAGAGCAGAAAATGGTGGTGAGAAGGAGAGGACATCAAGCAATAGGAGGGTGAGCTTCAGAGAGGAGAGAAGCTGGTGAATCAAAGAGAGGAGACATTGAACTGATGCAACAGTTTGTTCTGAGAACTTAAGAGGAGTGCAGACAGAGTTTTCTGTTATTTGATACCCTAAGGAAATGGCTCCAGAATTTCCCTGGTAAGCTGCTTGCAGGAAGAGAGAACCTGGAAGACTGGAAGCAGCTTGGAAAAAAGAGAATGCAGCCAGATGAGTTGCCTGTAGTGGAAACCACTGCTAAACAGGACTGGAATTGGCAATTCTAGTTACGACTTGCAGGACTGCAGATACTCTTTTTTTAAAGAAAATTACTACTGTGTAATTAAATGATAGTTGTCATCATCATCTTCCATCAATTTAATTTTCTCATGTAGTTATGACCCTGTTTTGCAAGTGGCACATCAGCTGGTTGTTTGCAAGTGTTTATCATTCCAGGTTCTTATCCTCTTATATTGTTCAGTTGTGGAGTAGGAAAGAATATATATGATTTTTGATCTAACATGCAGCAGCTTTTATTGTTTTAAAAACAATTATTCAAAAATTTATAATTATCTGTATACAACTTATTAACTCCAAGGTATAAGGATGTATCTTTGGCCTGATGTATTGACTTCTGAAGCTGGCCAATGTGCTCCAGATTATGAGCATTGCAACCTAGTTTTT